TCATAATGACATCAGTAATAGATATACAAACTATTTTCCCACAAATTACAGGAGCAAATAGGTGAGGTAAATAGGCCAAGCTGATACTCCTTGATATGAAATTGTGAAGCCATCAATGTGTATAATATATTAACAAAACAATTCAACAGTGAACAGTGCACGTACCTGGCAAAAATGGGTTAAAGACAACATTTTCTATTTACAATGTAGATTTACAAGTGTTATTTACATAAGTATTAGTATACATGAAAATAAAATGTGCTTGAATATCACATACAAAAGGATATTGCAAACCAAAGTATGCATTTTGTAAATATCTTTCGAAGTTTCCCTAATTAGGAACAAGGATCGACTTATCTCAGATGCATAGTGAATTTATATGTATTCATATTCATTTAAATAAAAAGTATAAGAATATTATGATAAAGTGAGGAATATAAAAGTATGAATAAAAATCAAATTACTTTCCCCATAATCTTGTCTTTCATATTTGATATTCATATTTATAAATATAAAACACAATTCTTAATATGCTGTATTTTCAATCTAACAACAGATGATACTAGTTCATAGTATCTATTGTCTTTATAATGCACAATAAACTCAAGCTCACCATAACATTTAGTACATATTACTTTAATTTTTCTATTCAACTTGACGTTTCAATTCCAAAATCAAAATGACCAAAAGTATTAGATTTTCCTCCCAGACAAGTGTTAGAAGGATATAAATAAACACTGGATATCACACAATATATAACAGGCATTGTGCAATTTTCAAAATGATCTCACCACAGCTGCTAATGAATGATAAGTAGATTTATTCAATCCTATATATAATCTGTTATAATAAGTTAATGAATGTCTCAGTACATTCTCATCCACCAAAGACTGGCACTCTCTCAGCAAATTGCAAATTTCAATAAGTTATCTCAATCCCTTGAATAATCTTCCCTAAACTGTTGAATAAAGATAAATAAATTCCTAACTAAATAAGTAAGAGTCAAATTGTCTTTTCCTTAAGTCTTTTTGATGGACATTTCACTTTACCGCAGCTTCCTCAACCCTTATCTGGCTTCTACTCAAAATGCCTGCTCTTAAAAATTCTCTAGCAATTATCTACCATGCAATCAGTAAAAGACGATAAATTGTTTGATGTGACTAAGGCTGCTCTACCAATCTAAGCTCGTTTGCAACCCTAGAAAGAGAAAAATTATAAAATCAATTAGTCTACATGATAAAGGGTAATAAAAATTGTAATATAAGCAATGTCCTTAAAATAAGAGGCTCTTAGAGAAAATCTTAACATGCAACTATATTTTTACATATATACTGTATATATAAATATCAGTAATAATGCAGTTCTAAAATTCATGAAATCTAATTTCAAAAGAACGTACTATAATGGATTTTTTTTTAAACATACGTGATTCACTTATGTCTAATAAAGAACAATTACAAAACCAAGAATCTTGATACTTAACATAAATAATAAAAGCAAAGCAAAAGAATATAAACAAATAATTTATGTTTAATCATTATGTAAGCACTAAATGTTATAAAAAAGCAGTCTATTAAATTCATTTTTAGATGTAGATGAATATCATTAAAGACAAACACATCTCCCATCAAGACACGACAAACTCATCACTTGAACATCCCTTATATGAAGGAGAAAAAGGAGATGAAGAAGAAGAAGAAGCAATAAGTAAGAGCAAAGAATAAAGCCATTTGATTTTGGACAAACCTATTTTCTTAAATTCCTTTAAAAAAAAATCACAAAATGGTTACAAAAAGAGAAAGAAGGAGGGAAAAAAAGACCAACTACCATCTTTACCAAAACATCAACCATCTTGATCATACACATCTAAATCGACCCAACTCTATCCATCCTTACCTATCCATACACAACCTCATCCATCTTCACCCATCCCTTTACATCCTCACCCAACCTCACTCCATTCCAACTCATCCTCAACCCACTTCACTCCATCCTTACTCATCCTCACCTATTCACACCCATCTTCATCCATCCTCAACCAAGCTTACCAACGCACTCATCCATTTGCATCCTCACCATCACACACAAACCACACTGGTTTCCCAAACCACCACCTTCCCCCCCTCTACACTCCAACCAATCAAAAGCCCAGTTTTCCTTACTTGTTTGAAGCAAGGGTCATTCGGATGTGACCTTTTCTTGCACTGTAGCTGTACGGGTGAGGCGCAGCGGAGGAGCGTGATGTCAGGAGTGGTACAACTGACATATACACATCCGCATGGTGTTCATGTACCTCTCCCATGTCATGCGTAAAGAGTGGTCACTGAAAGAGGGGACAGATGTGGGAAATTTTAATTAGTGGTTGATCAATCCACCAAGAGAAGAATTTTTGCAGGCTGGATATTGAACAATTAGATAATGTCAAAGCTAACACCAAAACCAGAATTATCATCTTATTCTAATAATGATTTTTTCTTTTCTTGATAATCATTTCTTTTAAAGACATTGCAAAACTAATCATATAGGTGAGGATTTCCATGCCTGCAGTAATTATGTGTTATGCTTTTAGTCTCTCTTTCTTAAATGCTACATCTTTAACATCTTAATAAAAAAATATAATTGAATAAATGGTTTAAAAAAGCACTTTCATACATTCTTCATCAAATCTTAAATTTTTCATTTGTAATCCTCTATAACACCTTGGAACTAATATAAATCACAATTCAGATATATAAAATCTAACATAAAATCAGTCTTTAAATCAAATTCTGCTTTGACTTCTAAGCTATAATTAATTTTCCTTTTAACATAACAAGGATAACATCTAAAAATTATTTGAAGGTTTGAGTTAAATATATCATATTTGTTATCTCTCACTTCTCATTAAACTTTACACTGATGAAACTTAATGCCAGCTCTCACATCTAATTAAACATCATACTGATGACTTATAATGTTTTTATTAACATCATCATTTTTACTATCTTAAAATTTCAACATATCTGAGACGAATCCAAATAAAATAATCTTACTCATTATAATCCATTAACATGTCAATCCATGATATGCATACCACATACAGTAACACATGAATTATAACCAAAAAAAAACATACCTATAAGAGTAAATGTTTCCACCATGAATAATGTATGAGTTACAAAATTAACAAGCCAAAACACACCCTTCTCATATCTATTCACGTAATAAACTCAAGAAGCAAATTGTAACAAATGTCTAAAATGCAGGAAAATACTGTAACATTCTATTGTAAGTGAAGGAAGTAAAAAAGGAGCTGAAACCAAAATAATCTCAAATATAATGATAAAGTAAGTGTATTACAAAACTAACAATCACCCAACTTATAACACATAACAAAAAGACAATACATAATACACCTACTTAAAAGTAAACACAAATCTAACAGAAGATTTATGGTTAACTACCCACATTCCAACTATAGAGAAATCATAATAAAATTAAGTGTGCTTATAGTCCTACTGAATGAATCAATCACAACCTTTCTTTTGTTATGCCTTTAAGAAACTTACAAAAGCATTCTTCTTCCTCATTCAACCTCATTCAAATGCTTCCTTAACACGCAAATTGATTTCCCTTCATTATCAAAACACTATCTACACAAGCAATAGAACTATGCATTATGTCTTTTGCTCAAGCAATAGAACTATGCATTATGTTTCTTGCTCTTCTAGCTCTCTATCTAATATTCAGTCCTACACAGTGGTGGTTTATTAGAAACTAGGCTAAATATTTTCCTTTGTCTATATCTTCAGTGTTTATGCATGAGTATGCACATTTTCTTCAAAGGTATGATTAAAATAACAGAAAAGTGCAAAAAGAACCACACAAGATAAATGATATCTTATCTTATAAATCATAAATAATAACAATAACAGTAATAGAAACAATAATATTAATACATATCATCATCACCATCAATCATAATCATAATCATCATCATAATGTAGATGATAACTACCATAATGATGATGATAATAATAATAATAATAATAACAAAAATAATAATAATAATAATAATAATAATAAAAAATAATAACAAAAATAAATAATAATAATAATAATAAAAATAATAATAATAATAATAATAATAATAATAATAATAATAATAATAATAATAATAATAATAATAATAATAATAATAATAATAATAATAATAATAATAATAATTACAAAAATAATAATAATAACAAAGAGTGATTAATACTTAAAAATATACACAAAAGCCACCACGCAAAGCCCCACAAGCATTCCTTAGTAACAGATTTGACAGCTTGCAATGTCTCTTTGTCAGGTTGGCTCATGCCTTTGCAAGCCCACACGACACCTGTTCCATTCCCGTATGAAGAATACATAACAGGCCCCTATAGACAGTGCAGTAAAAGGGAAAACAAACCTTAAAGAAATGTAAAAAAAAAAAAAAAAAATTCAAGATGCTAAATTATCCTCACCTTCTTCCTTTAGGTTTTCTTGCAAGGAGGACAAAAGAAATGAATACTTTTCAATGCAAGAATAATACTCATGCATTCAAATCAGAAGCTTCATAAGAGAATCACTGGCATCAGATTTCATGATCATTCAAAAAAGCAGTATGTAAAAGTTGGTGTACCCTTGAAATACAAAGGAAAATCAACATTCAAATGATACAGAAATGCAACAGTAAGAGTAAAATTCAATCTAATAACTAATTACTGAAATCAATACCTACAGAAAAAGCAAATAAGAAAAACACCATCCTATCCATTTCAAGCCATCCAATATCTGGTTTTAAAAACTGCACATGATATCATTTTAATCTTCTTTTCTATTTAGTACAAAATGACTGTGAAATTATATAAAGTAAAGAAGAGATTTTGAATGAAATTAAAAAGATTGTTCTTACTGTTGAATACTTAATAAGACTTGTCACTATAAACCTAATGGAAAAAACTGATCCTTCTTTTCATTCAAATAATCTTCTTGTCATTTACAAAACCACTAATTTTCAAGCAACTTTGATTCAAGTGTCATGCTGCATTAATTATCGTTTACCAGACCAACAATGGACGCTGCAATGTTTATATCCCACAATAGGGTGATATAAAGATATGTGGAAAATTTAGGCTGTGCTGAAACATGTACCTTTCTTCTTATTGTACCAATGAGAGCTTCTATTTCCTATATCCTACTGACTGTCATGTGTAGGTTCCATGTTGCACAAATTATAAACAAAACAAAGAAGGAAAAAAACAGGCCTTTGTTTTTTTCTTATTCTTCCCTCTTTTGTTATATTCACTGATGTCATGTTTGCATTTTTTACAATGTACAAGTGATACAAAATGCTTGGAGAATGCTTATGAAAGGTTAAAAATACCCCTAGAAAGAGCTGGATCTGCCAGTGTGCATGACATAAATGCAATGCTATAATATATATACATTTATGTCCATGCCAAACCATCATTTATTTGAAAATTAGTGGTCTTTTGTTGATGATGAATAAGAACATGAATGATTGTACTAACTGGTCTACTCCTTTATATTTTCAAAGCATTTATTGCTTTGAATAAAGTCAGTAAAATGTTAAAAATGTAAAATGTGCTACAAATAATGCAGTTTGCATGACAGGAAATGAAAAAAAAATTAATGATATAATTCAATGAATTCAGTATCCTACTAATAAGAGACAGATTTCCTTTTCTGCACTAAACCCTTCACCTTTTTCAGGTGAAAACTATATCTATTCTGTTTTTATTATCATTTCATTCTCTCACTCCTTCTGCTTTCTCCTGCTTTCTCTTTCTATCATTCCTATCCCCATTCCTCTTCCATTCTTCTCTTTACCTTATGTTCTAATTCCTCTTTTTCTCTCTCCTTTCCTTCTGTACCTATCTATCTCCCTTATTATTTCCTTCCTTCCCCATCCCTCATTCTCCTCTTTTACCTTCCATACCCATCAATCTACTCTCCTTGTCTTTGTCTCTTCCTTCTATCCACATCCCTCTCCCTCTTCCTCTTCATTCAATCCTATCCTTCTCCTCTCTCCTCGCCTTCCATCTCAATCCCTCTCCCCTCTTCCATTCCTTTTGTTCTGTTATTCCCTTTCTTCTTTCCTTTTGTTTCAATCTGCTTTCCATTCCTATTTTTTCCATCCATTTCCCCTATTCCCTTTCTCTTCCAATCATCATCTCTTTCTCCCATCTCTCTTTCTCTGTTCTATCACTTTCTTTTTGTCTTTCCTCTTTTCTCAATTTCCCCCTTCCCTTTCCTTCTATCCCATTTTTCTTTCATCTCTCTCTTTTCTTTTTGCTTTCATCTTTTCCTACATTTTATCTCTCTGCCTTTCATCTCTACCTCTCTCCCTTTCCTTTTGTCCCCTATCCCTCTCTTCTTTCTCTTCCTCTTATTTCCTTTAGTCCCAGCCTCTCCCTTTTCCCTTTTCTCTTTCTCTCTCCCCTCACACTTTTCCCTTCTCTCTACTCTCTTTCCCTCTGTTCCCATCCCTTTCCCTTCTATTTTCAACATAAATTCTCTCTCTCTCTCTCTCTCTCTCTCTCTCTCTCTCTCTCCTCTCTCTCTCTCTCTCTCTCTCTCTCTCTCTCTCTCTCTCTCTCTCTCTCTCTCTCTCTCTTCTCTCTCTCTCTCTCTCTCTCTCTCTCTCTCTCTCTCTCTCTCTCTCTCTCTCTCTCTCTCTCTCTCTCTCTCTCTCTCTCTCTCTCTCTCTCTCTCTCTCTCTCTTTCTCTCTGTACCATATTCAATTATCTGTCCTTCCTTTTTTTCTTTTGCAAATGTAAGTGTAATTGTGAAGGTGAGCACAGGTGTGTAAGTGAATGAATATGAGTGAGTGAGTGAGTGAGTGAGTGAGTGAGTGAGTGAGTGAGTGAGTGAGTGAGTGAGTGAGTGAGTGAGTGGGAGTGAGTGAGTGAGTGAGTGAGTGAGAGTGAGAGTGAGAGTGAGAGTGAGAGTGAGAGTGAGAGTGAGAGTGAGAGTGAGAGTGAGAGTGAGAGTGAGAGAGTGAGTGAGTGAGTGAGTGAGTGAGTGAGTGAGTGAGTGAGTGAGTGAGAGTGAGAGTGAGAGTGAGAGTGAGAGTGAGAGTGAGAGTGTGAGTGAGAGTGAGAGAGAGTGAAAGAGAGAGAGAGTGAGAGAGTGAGAGAGAGTGAGGAGAGAGAGAGGGAGAGAGGGAGAGAGGAGAGGAGAGAGAGAGAGAGAGAGAGAGAGAGAGAGAGAGAGAGAGAGAGAGAGAGAGAGAGAGAGAGAGAGAGAGAGAGAGAGAGAGAGAGGAGAGAGAAGAGAGAGAGAGTGAGAGTGAGAGTGAGAGTGAGAGTGAGAGTGAGAGTGAGAGTGAGAGTGAAGTGAGTGAGTGAGTGAGATGAGTGAGTGAGTGATGAGTGAGTGATGATGTGAGTAGATGAGTGAGTAGATGAGTGAGTAGATGAGTGAGTAGATGAGTGAGTAGAGTGAGTGAGTGAGTGAGTGAGTGAGTGAGTGAGTGAGGAGTGAGTGAGTGAGTGAGTGAGTGAGTGAGTGAGTGAGTGAGAGTGAGTGAGTGAGTGAGTGAGTGAGTGAGTGAGTGTGAGTGAGTGGTGAGTGAGTGGGTGAGGAGTGAGTGAGTGAGTGAGTGAGTGGTGTGAGTGAGTGGGTGAGTGAGTGAGTGGGTGAGTGAGTGGGTGAGTGAGTGGGTGAGTGTGGGTGAGTGGTGGTGAGTGAGTGGGTGAGTGAGTGGGTGAGTGAGTGGGTGAGTGAGTGGGTGAGTGAGTGGGTGAGTGAGTGGTGTGTGGTGTGGTGTGTGGGTGAGTGAGTGGGTGAGTGAGTGGTGGTGAGTGGGTGAGTGAGTGGGGTGAGTGAGTGAGTGGGTGAGTGAGTGGTGAGTGTGTGGGTGAGTGAGTGAGTGTGAGTGAGTGGGTGAGTGAGTGGGTTGAGTGGTGTGTGGTGAGTGTGGGTGATGTGAGTGTGTGTGTGTGAGTGTGAGTGCGAGTGGGTGAGTGAGTGTGCAGTGTGTGTGTGAGTGTGTGAGTGTGTGAGTGTGTGTGAGTGTGTGTGAGTGTGTGTGTGTGTGTACAAGTGTGTGCATGTGCATGTCTGTGTCTGTGTCTGTGTCTGTGTCTGTGTCTGTGTCTGTGTCTGTGTCTGTGCATGTGCATGTGCATGTGCATGTGCATGTGCATGTCCTTGTGTGTATGCCTGTACATGTGCTTGTGCGTGTGCCTGTACATGTGCTTGTGCGTGTGCCTGAGTATGTGTATGTGAGTGTGAATGTACGTATGTGTGTGCATGTACATGGGTATGTGTGTGAGCATGTACATGTGTGCATGTGCATGTGCGCATGAGTGAATATGTATGTGAAAGATCATCTTGAGAACTCTGAAACATTGAGCTTGGTTTTCAACTAAGAATAATTCCCCTTCTAAATCAAAATATCTTACATTAAACAATGAGCAATACAAGTAAATAGAATCAATCTAACTTTGAAAAAAATTACATTCTAGTCAAATAATTTAAGTAAATGTTGACATCAATAATATAACCAAAATGCATAAAACAGCTGCTGCCTCTACTACTTGCTCAAAGAAATAATATATGCATTACATTAGCAATAACAAATTACTGGCAAGTATTTATGAAAAATTTGTATACTTTCCAAAATTCACCATATTTTCTGTCCTTTTTGAGTCATTTGGAAACTGCTTTCCCTATAATTTTTAAAATCTATCTTACCTTTCCGCAGTCACAAAACACAAACCCTACAAAAAATTAAAAAGCCAAGATGGAAAAAGAAACATATACCTTAAAAATAAAAACACCACCACATAAAGAATCATATATAAAGACAGTAAAAATTATAAATGAACAAACAAAAACAGTCAATCAAGAATCACGACCCACGTTTTTATCACACCAATCAAGCCAAGCCCTCACTCACCTGTTCATAATATCAAGCCCACTCCCCGCATCGGCATAGACCTGTAAAAAGACCTCCAGCTCGGCCCCCTTCCACCTCGACTGCCGACAAGGATCTACAATTTTCTCCACAGTGTCGACAAAGAAGTCCCGCAGATCACGTGTGTTGTTGAGGGCACAGCCAATGTTAATGATGGCCCTTGAGTAGACCTTGAAGTTATTCTCGACCTCAGTGCACATGCGGTCTGGGATCTTGCCCCGTAAGTGGCTTAGGGTCATACTGGAATAAGAGTTGGGGAGTTAGAATGGGGGTTGCAAATCTTTGGTGATGTAGTTGAGGGATGGAATAAGGTAGAGGGATGAGGGTATGGGTAAAAGTCGGGATTGGGGATTGGAGACAGGGATGAGGACATTGGGATGGAAATGGAGGTGGGAGTAGTGATGAAATTAGTGATGGCGGTTGTGCAAATGGGAATTAGATTGCAAATGGGGAAGGGAACAGTGGTGCAGACAAAGGGGGGGCATGGGGGAGGTTCCTCCCCCTCTCAAGTATAGTCAGTTTTGATGGACATTTTCAATCCTTGTCCGAAAAATGTGACAGCAGTCTCTTTTCTCGTGATCTTCTCTCTGTTTCACCCCGAGTTATATCAGTTTAAGTAGCAGAACTTTCCGCTTCCTGAGGTCAACTTAACACAGAAGTTATGAAAAGTTTGTTTACATAAGAAATGCTTTTCCAGATCAGTGTAGCGCTGCCACTGCATCGCTAGTAGTGAGGATGTGCATTACTCAACAGATCGCCTTCCATTTTCTCTCAGCATGGTAGAACGAATCTCACTGCTTTGTTGGAAAATTTATGGAATTTGCCAACTCTGTTAAACTTCCAATCTATGCCACTGGAAGGGGATGAGATTGGAGATGGATGTTTAGAAGGGATGTGGGTGGGGATGGATTGGAGATGAAGATAAAGATGTAGATAAAGATGGAAATGGGGTAGGGGATGGAGAGAAGGATGGGGATGGGGATGGAGTTGGTATTGGAAAGGGTAAAGGTCGTGGTTGGGGATATTGCTGATGACACACTGACATTGGGATGGGGATGGTTTTAGGCATGTAGATGAGGATCTGGATGGGATGCCGAAGGGGATGGGGATGTTGACAGAGATGGAGATAGAGATGGAGATAGGATGCAGTTTGGGGATGGGGATGGGGAGGAGGATGGAAATAGAGATAGGGATAGGAATTGGGATAGGGATGGGGATGGGGATGGGGATGGGGATGGGGATGGGGATGGGGATGGGGATAGGAATAGGAATGGGAATGGAAATGGTGATAGGAATAGGGATGGGAATTGGGATTGGGATGGGGATGGGGATGGGGATAGGGATAGGAATGGGAATGGGGATGGGGAGGAGGATGGAGATGGAGATGGGAATGGGAATGAGGATGGGAATTGGGATGGGAATTGGGATGGAATGGAGATAGTGAGGATGAGGGGATGGGGATGGGGATGGGATGGGGATGGGGATGGAGATGGGATGGGAATGGGGAATGGGATGGGAATGGGGAGGAGGATGGAGATGGGGATGGGAATGGGGATGGGAATTGGGATAGGAATGGAGATGGGGATGAGGATAGTGATGGGAATAGGAATTGGGATGGGAATGGGGAGGAGAACGGAGATGGGGATGGGGATGGGAATTGGGATGGGGATGGATGGGGGAATGGGAATGGGAATTGGAAGTGGAAATTGGGATGGGAATGGGAATTGGGATGGGAATGGGATGGGAATGGGAATGGGATGGAATGAGAATGGGGATGGGAATGAAATATGGGATGGGGATGGGAATGGGAATGGATGGGAATTGGGATGGGGAGGGAATTAGGATGGGGATGGGAATTGGGGATGGGGATGGAATTGGGATGGGATGGGGATGGGATGGGGGATGGGGATGGGAATGGGATGGGGATTGGAATGGGATGGGAATTGGGATGGGGATGGGAATTGGGATGGGATGGGAATTGGGATGGGGATGGGAATTGGGATGGGGATGGGAATTGGGATGGGGATGGGAATTGGGATGGGGATGGGAATTGGGATGGGGATGGGAATTAGGATGGGGATAGGAATTGGGATGGCGATGGGAATTAGGATGGGGATGGGAATTGGGATGGGGATGGAATTGGGATGGGATGGGGATGGTAATTGGGATGGGGTAGGGATGGAGATGGAGATGGAGATGGAGCTGGGACTGGGAATGGGAATAGAAATGGGAATGGGGATAGGGACAGGGACGCAGCTATAAATTTGGCTGGGACTTTTGAGGAGGGGCTGCGAGAGAGGGTAATTAAAATGATAATACTAACATAGACTTATGCTTATGAGCAAGGACTGTGAGGGTTTAATGGTGGATACTGCATATTCATAAGAGTTGAGTTAATTTACTGACAAAAAAAACAAAAAATCAATCAAACATTTAAAATAATATGTATGTTGAGTCTCACAGGGTCTCTACTCCTTCCCAAAAGAAAATCACACTTCAGCAATACTTAAAAAATAATAAGAAATATTTCTATAACGTATAATGAATCAGGCACATTACAAATCTACAGAAAGTTCTTACTTCCTGTGCTCCTTCTCCCGATCTAACAGGAGCTTGAAGTCCCTAAGGTCCATGAGGAACTCTCGGTCCACGTCAGAGTCATCACGGCCATCTGCACCAACGTTGAAGCTCGACGTGATAGTGGAGGTTGTCCAGGAGTTCATCATAAGAGATGCGCACACCGAAAAATCCTCGAAGGTAAGGTAGTTGAGCTTCCTTTTGCTTGTCTCGAACCTGTTGTTGATGATGAAGACAATCGAGGCGTATTTTCTGCAAGGGGGGACGGAACCTTTTCAATTTTTGTTATATAGTATGTCTGTACAAAAAGATAAGTAGTTCCCCTTCCTAGATACATCTGAAAATTGTGCAATAATAGTTTGACAATGTCCATTTTTTGTTGCCAAGGCAGTAACACATTTTTAAAATTACTTAGCAAGTCATAGTATCTTCATCAATGGAATTTGCATATTCTTAGTGTATATTTCCTCCACAGTCATATCATAAATAAACATGAATTAAACATTGTTCCTCACAAATTTGAAAACACAAAGAAATCAAGCACATCTATACAATATAAGGGCAATATACCCTTAGACATATAAGAACTATACACATTCACACTATCAAGATGAAATATACATAAACGGATACCTTTAAAACAAAATGTCTAAATCAATAAATATATCCTCTTGTAATTCTTGGTTCCCCTATCATTTCCAAACACTGTCACAGAAAACTTAATTCGGGTAATAACAAATGCATGTATACATAGAATGTCAAAAGAAAAAAACTCATCACATGTAAAAGAATTATCTACAAAGAAATCTCCTTTAAAAATAACTTACTTGGCTAATTCATTTGGTAAGAGAAATGAGGACTGGATATTTGCCACCACGGAACCTGGCATTTCGTCTACTTGCTTGAATATCCTTTTCACGTTGTCGAACTGACGCCTGTAAATTGAAAAAATCCCCATACTATGTTGATAGC